CCAATCACCCATGCACTCACTTCTGCTGTGAGACAGGAGTAGGAGAAAGGCAAAGCTGTTTTTTAAACACATACCCCACAGGTTGTACAGGAATTAGAAGCAGGGCTTGTTACAGGCTTTCCTGAGGAAGTCAAAGGAAAAAGGACTCCTGACAATTTTATCCATCCTCCAGCTCTCTGCTCCATGTCTAGGATAGCCTTGGAATTTCGATTTCTTCATTTCTAATTATGCTATCTCTATATATATGAAAACAGACCAGCATAACACCATGTAACTTTGTAACCCACTTTGCCTTCCCTGCACTATGTTTCTCCTAAAAAAAGCTTTTCTTAAAAGTAACCTTTATATTAATGTATATTAATAAACTCAGGCGTTTACTAGGAGAAAGTAACTTAGAAGCATTTCAAATTGCAAAACAATAAACTCTCAACAACTAAAAGAAGTTAAATTTACAAGTGAAGGCAATTTTTTAGAGACAGTGTACTCTAAATTTTAGTTAGACCACACAGATTTTTCAGGAAATGACTTATTTTGAGAGGGAGGGGAGGAAGAAAAGCAGAAGGCAGCAAAAAGAGACCTCGAAGTTCGCTCCTTCAGAGTGTAATGGTTTTCATTAGACACTTGGCCATCTAACACAAGAGGGTGAAAATGCCAGAAACACTATCTCTACCTCATCTTTAGGCAACCTCCTCTTGCGGCAGAGACTTCAGTACAATCGTGAATGATGTGTTACCTTTTGCTTTCCTTCCTTCTCTGCCTTCATATGGTTTTTGCCCTCCTTTGAGACACACTGGTTCTCACTGGCCTCAGACAGACCTGCTCTGCCTTCCTGTTTGAGAGCAGAGAAGAGAAAGCCAAGGGGGGAATGCAGGCTGCCATCAATTCCCCACCTTTGTGCCACAGCAAAGGGCAGCTGTTCAAGTAGACACCAGGCCAGCACAGAGGACAAACAAAGGCATCAGCAGTTTCAGGGGGATGGCAGTTTAGACTCACAATACTTCACCCATGTGAGTGGGGCACTGGTTTAGTAGTCATTTGTGCAGAAAGGGTAACAATCCCCTAAACACTGCAGAACAGTGAGGTCTGGGTCACGATTCATTACCAGAAAAACCACCACAACTAACTAAACCCCAAACAAAACCTGCTGTTATGGAAAAAAAACCCCAAAAACATCCCCAGAAAGGCCTGCCCTAATGCAGCTGATTCATTCTGCAGGTCCAGCCTGCTCGAAGCCAGACCCTGCTCAACACCAAACCAGCACTGGGCTGACTTTGTGCAGGGCTATGTGAACCAGTCCAAACCACATTCCCTCAGCTCCATGCTATCAGCAACACCCATGTTTGCTGTGTGCCATGCTAGCTTAACTCCAGAATAAGCAGGTACTGATGCTAGTTATAAAGCAACTTGATGCATTTTGGGACATTTTTGACTAAGGAAGCCCAGGAAGGTAACAACTGGCTTTTTAAAATCACTTTTAACCAATACACTAATTTTCAAAGTTCAAATGAATTATTTCATCTTTCTTCACAGTTAACCAAACCTCCACAGATTGAACATGGAAAGAACTCCCCATTTTGGCAGCAATACAGGGAAGAAGTAAACAAGGTAGCTTTGTGATTTAAAAACTAGTGGCTTTTTTATTCATTCTCCTGATAAACTACAGAAGATTTTCTAAGCAAATTTCAAATGATGAGTTGAGATCACAAAGATTTGTTCAGCTACTAAAGCATGCTCACCATAGGGTAAAGGATAGTACTGCTTCCACCAGTGCCTATGAGGAGGAGAAACACGCCCATCAAACCTGAGTGGGTCAAGTGTACACAGCACAAGAAAGGCTGTAGGATACTCTGTTTTTTGCAGTTTCTAAACATTTCTAAACAGAACATTTCTAAACAGAAATGTGGTAACTGAGAACAAACACAACTTCTGGCTCTCAACAACCCAAGAATAGTTTAGATAAATTTTGGAACTAAATGCAAGACAACACAGGCCTGATTCTGTCAGTAAGGCAAGAAAGAGATCAGATGCATTAAAAGATAAAATATTGTATATTCTGAATGCTTGCAGGATTTTTCTCCTCTACTAAGAACAATTCAATATGGCCCCTTAACTTCTGGTAAGCCCCACAGCATGAATGAGCATTACATTCTTTCTCCATATTTTCAGTTAAATAATGACTTCATTGTATTTTATAATCTATAAAAGAAACCTTAAAATAGTTATGAGTTCTTACTGTTTATTTCTCCCACTCATATATCAAAAATACCAAGTCTATTCTTCATTGGTTATAAATGATGCCTGTGAAAATTTCAGGGTACAGTTGCTTCTGTTAGTCCACAACTGATAAAAAGCAGATGTGCTGAATCTAAATCCCCTCATTTATCAGAACCATTATACACTGAAGTTATAGATATTAATTCTTTGAACCATGCAAAAATACAACTCTCGCCCTGGAAACAGTTGGGATTTCATTGGTTTGATCCTGACTCATCAGTAGGCCCATAGAGTCTTACAGTTTCAAAGCTGAAAGCCTTTCTTTTTCCACACAAAAGGCAAGAAGAAAAAAAACCCACCCACTTGAAAATCCCTTTCATGCATGATAAAAATGGCTGTAACTCTATCAAAGCAAAAACAGTAGTAACATTTTCCATGAATTCTGACCAAAGAATTTTAACAATTCATACAAAGGAACAAAGGTCAGTACGGCTGCATAGTCTGCTTTTATCACTTCCCTACCACAGACAGACATCCATGGCTGGTCAAAAATGTACCTGTCCCAAAGAAGAGTTCTACCTCAGAAATATCTGGTTTATGAATCAAAAATTGTCGGTGAAGAACAAGAAAAACCACAGCACAAAATAGAAGAATATGTTTTCTTTCCTGATTTGGTATCAGATTAACATAAAACCAGAAATGGTGGGAGGAGGGATGTAAAGGTTGATACGAATAACCACCAGCTGTTACCAGCATAAGATTTTCCCACAAATTCATTATTACAGCTCTTCTCTGCTGCAACTTACAGCAACTGATAAGTTTCATGTGTTACCTGTTCAAGAAGCTGCTTCTCAGCAGAAACATTTATACCAAATTACTTGATAGTTATATTTCTCCAAACCAAACTGGATAGGTTTCTTTTCAAAAATGTAAATTCAGGACATGTCTTCTAAGTAATGCTATCACTCACTAAACAAATAACACTTCCTGTAATTAAGAACTGAAGAAAATTGTTTGAAGTTGCACAGCAAAAACAATCTGCAGATGTACCTTTACTTACAAAGCAGTTATCACAAATGCTACTTTCTTTTCTTTTTTGTGGTCATTTATTCTGTTTCACAAAGTGGTTCAAAATTATTACATCTCAAACGAAAGCCTATAAAAACATATTGAAAGATACAACATGCTTAAAAAGAGTTTTCTTGGTTTCACAAGCTTTTCTTGTTTCTCTTTTATGAAGAGTTGAGAAATTAAAATTAGCATTTGAAAGATTGCTTAAACTTCTCATTCAGGTGTCAGATTCCACAGGTGCAATTTCTCATTAAATACAGTGAAACCTTGAAATCAACTTTGCTAGGCAACTTCTGTTCTTAACATTATAGAGCAAAACAGAAAATTTCTCCTTTGCCTACAACTGAAGATATTTTTAGACAAACAATCAACTAAAAAATAAATCCTAAGATGAGCACAAAAAAAACCCATGCTGTTTATCTGTCCTCCTACCTTAAATATTGAGAGTATCAAGATTCTGTAACTTCTGGTTAAAAGAACTTTAAGCTGTACTGTTTCATTTTGGAGGTATGCATGGGCTTCCTCCAGATCTTATTACTCTAATGGCAAATTAAGATAATGCCTTAATTTCTAACTCTTGTCCAATTAAATAAAAAATAGAAAGCAGAGTTTCTAATAACCACATATTCAAAATTATCACCAGATTACATTTAATATGAAAGGCAATACCACTAAACAACAAGGAAAAAAAAAAGCCACACACCCACTAAACACACATATTAAACCAAAACTAACTTGGAACCTTCTGGGCTAAACCAATAGCATGGTTCAAGTCTTCTTGCATTCTAAGGTTCTTCTTTTTCATTTATTTTTTCTTATACATATATGGGAAGACCTTAATTCTAATTGTTCAGTATTTTGTCTCTCAACACAGAATAAATATCTTCATGCTTATATTAAAATGCTTTCATAAAATAAATTTACTAGAGATAATATAAATGACAGCTTCAGAAGATGAGAAAAATGCAATGAAAGCAGTATGATCACTCATTCCAGAGAGCAGTTACTGAAATACAAAAGCTTTTTAACTTACAGGTTCTACAAACCTTAATACAGAAGACATTACAAACAAATGTTTTATTTTGCACTGTAATATTGATTCATACCATTTGTGCAAAGTAAGAACACTAATTAAACATCTTGCTCTGAATTATTTTGCTGACTTTTCCAAGTCAATACTTATTTTTGCTGAAGTCCTTGTGAAAGCCAAAAAGTAATTTTAAAAAATGGCAGAGAGAAAAGTAAAATTATTAAATCTACTGGACAACTTTTTTAAAAGTTTACTTGTATTGTTTACCAGTGACAATCCATAAGCATTAACTAGAGGAGACAATCTCTTATGTATGGTCCAAGATAGCTAATACTGAATACTTACACCCCAGGTGTCTCCCAAATAAAGACCATCATTTGCACAAAAGCACTCTAGACAATATTTATCTATTTTGATTTGTTGCTAGTTTTGGTTTGTTAAAACAGAGTCATGACCCAATCTAATTCCTTGAATAACTCCAGGCACATTTGAATTATCACCAAAATAATTCTTTGAATTAAAAAAAACTATAAACCACCAAAACCATCAATGCTTTCCATGACACTAGACAAAAATTCTGCAAAACAATGACATTTTCTATCTCATGTAATAACTCAAATGTGAAGAAATTATTTATTAGCTTCTTCAACCTGAATATAATTAATATTTGATGTGTTGTATTTACCATTCTGTAATCCCATCCACAATTGCTTATGATCCTTTTTTTGCATTTCATTGATGACTTGACTTTTGTGCTTTAAAGCATCTGCTTCTTTTATGCAAGCCATAAAATGAGCTTCAATCACATCCTTAGAATGGCAGTGTAGAAGATCCTTTTCTGGAAAATTCTACAAAGATAAATGATAGATCAAGAAAAATAAATGCATCATATACCTTATATGATGAAGAATAAATGATAATTTTAAATAGGCATACATTTATGCAAAAGAAGCATACTTGAATCTTCTACTTACAGAAGTATGTAACAACCATTCTCTCAAGTCTGCTGACAAGAAAAAAGGTTGCAGTGAAAATGTTTCAGGAAAAAAAAAAGCCCAACAACTTTCTGTAAACCAGAATTTTAACAGGTTTTCAAGCAGATATTCAATCTCAGACAATAAACAGGAGAAAATTATGAGAAGCAAGTGACAAGTACCTAATGTATACTGGCTCTCTATGATATTTATCAACCATTTCTATGTAGATCCTTGAAAACCAAGCAGAACCACCCACATATGAACTGTAGCATATCTGCCACTTACAAACATTTTTCCTTAGAGACACTGGAAATCTTTGTCAGTTCCAGCTTTAACTAATCCTCGTGACTACTGCTAGCCTGTGTGACTTGATTTTATATCCCTTTTGCTTGGTTACACTGGCACACAGCATTCAGCATTGCAGATGCACAACTACCACTCCTCAGGTAACTCTTAACCCTTCAGTAAATGACAACTACCTCTCCTAATGAATTTATTAAGGAGTTATAGCACTATATCACACAAAAAAAAAGATTTATTTGGAAATTAACTGATAAGAAGTCCAGCATTTTAGAGGTTGTGGTTTTCCTTCCTCCCGTTTTTCTTTTATCCACACTTACTATCATTTACCATTTTATAATAACACAAGCATTCACTACTACAAATCCAGTGCCTTTAGTTTTCAGAAGTTTTAAAACCCACCTTTATTCCCTCCTTATTAACTTCATTTTCACCGTTGTTTATGACCATGCAAATGGAGCAAACCTCAGAGCCAAACCAGAGTGGTGGCATCATCAGTACTCCCCTTCCTAACAAGGGCTTGCCACATGTTTATACTTGAATTCTCAGGCTATTCCACCAGAGACCCCCTTCTCTTAACCCATTACAAACTGGCACTTTAAAAAGCTTTTGTGAGGAACTGTCAAAACCATTTTGGAAATACAAGTACATATAATGGGATATTTTTCAAACGCTTTTACAACACAGTTAACATGTTAAAGTAGGAGCAATCTAGTGCTGGAAAAAAAAACCCTACCTTCACTCCCCCACATAACCCCAAGAAAAATAGTGAAGACTGCTTCAAAATACAGAAACCCAAAATATCAAAAAGGGAGCTGGGGATTGCCTTACCTGAAAGAAATTCTGAGGAAAACAGTGATAGTTCCCTCCTCATTAGGTTATTGAGAAGAGTTGGAAATTAAATAATGGAATTTCATATAGCGTTTCCTCCTTATGACAGTGAGAACCCAAACTCTGGAAACTGTGGATCAAAAGGATGAGTATTTCCAAAAACAGGGGCATAAAGAAAAGACTGCCAATATCTCTTCCACTAAAGTTTATGTGGTTTGATGTTGGACTTGCAAAAGGAAGTGCTGTTGTTCGGACTGGTGTATGTTAAGCTGACTAGAAAGCCAAGGACAGAGGCAAATCTGTTTTCTTACATGAGAACGGCCAAGTATAAAGACATTAAAGACAGAACAATAAAGAAAGTTCTTCTGGGGCAGACCTTGCTCCTGTTCTACCCTACAAAGCTGAGTATCTCAGCATAATTGGGCCCAAGATTACTAGGAAAACATTACTGGGACTGTTATTTGCCAATTGACATCTGCATAGGCCTGTAAAATACTTTCAGAAGTTCAATTTACTTGCTCAAATAAAAATATAAAGTCTTGTAACCAATCCAGAAGAAACAAATAGAGAGAAATAGCATAGTTAAAGATCAAAAAACATCTTTACACACAATAATTCCAAGTGAGACACTGGCATCCTTCAAAACAAAGAAACAGCGGTATGTACCTAATGCCAAATAATATAAGAACCTAGAAACTGATTTTCCTAGTTAAAAAGTGATGTCTTAGCTAAGTTTATGAAAACAACAGTTTTTTTACAACAACGGTTTCATTACACATGTGTAAATATTGAACTGCAGAGTCATTTTTTGGACATTCTTCTTTTTCTACAGGTAGACATCTTCCTGCTGACATTTTTCCAATGAATTTCAATTTGCAGCTGACGTCACTCCCTGAGGATGAGTTCCAGAAATCATACACAGTGCAGTCTGCAGAACAGCAAGGATCTATTTAAAACTGGTCAAAGCTAGTTAAGCTACTATAAAGAATCTAGACACAGTAGTAGAATTAGTTGTGGCAAGATTAATTTTCCCAGCTTCTAAGAAGTAACACTGTGAAAGACTGGAAAACACTCCTGAACCTCAGTGCTGTGTATGCTTTTCTTTAGTAGGAAAACACTGACACATTTCTATGAAGTACTGTAAGTAGAAGCTGAAAAACCTAAACATGAAAGTGACAACTTAGAAAAAAACACTGCACACCTGCAAGAAGTATATGAAACAGTTTCACTTACATGAGACTGTCAACAGAAAACATGGTATCCCAGCTGATTTATCCATCAGGGTACAAAATAATAAGTTTTATACTTAAATGTAGATCATGTGTGCTTTTATTTTTTAAAAAAATTCTACTTGCCTTCTTTCTACCTGAAGAAATACTGATCAGTCATAAATAACTGAGTTCCCTGAAGAAAGGGATAATTGTAAACAAACTGGTTGCCACGCCCGGCTATACAACCAGGAGATTTGCAAAAAGTATTAACAGATGACATAAGTAGCTTTAATTCAAGTACTCTCATTAGTGGTGTCTGACTCCCTCCATGTCCTGCATCTTTGAAAGAACAGTTACTAAAGGCTGATTCTGACTTTCTTAGAAAGCTCAAGTTCTGTTTTTTGTTTTCACATAGCAGTAGACCCTTGCAGTATGAACAGGTCATATTGTCAGACAGAACATTGTCTGTAAAGACAAGAGCACTAAATGACCTCTCGCAAAAAACTGTACCAAAAACATCACTGGCAATTTCAACAGCCTGGTTTCAGAACTCCATTCCACCCATATTTATCTCTCAGTTCTAGTTCACAAAACATCCGTCTATCCTGTGACAGTCTACTTGCATTAGACTACATTTACAGAATATGGCATTAAAACCATAAGGAATGTATACAGTGGCAGGGGGCGCATCTATGTATTTGTGTTTAGTTACTATCAGTGGTCTTTTCTTGAAGTAGACTGATTTCAAAAAAAACCCATTTATACTTCTGGCTTCCACAACATCTCCTAGCAGCTCCACAATTTATCCACATGCTACACAGAAAAGTACTTCCTTTCCATTCCACCCGACCCAGTCTTCACCTGAAAAACCACAAAGATGATGACTGTCACACAAGGACAGATGCTGCCTCTCCTCCTGTACATCAGGTCATGGGTGGAGAGGCAGGCACCAGCAGACAATGGCTTCAGCAGAACCTCAGCATTTCCCCTGGCACACACAATTTCCTCTCCTCCAACACTACTGCCATCTTATCTACTGCCCAAAACCTGGAGAGGTGATTACCACACTGAGAACTGAATAGTGTTAAACAGGTCGCAGAGTAAGGTGAGATGATTTTAACAGGAAGGGGTAGAATTTCCCTCCTTCCTGTAAAGCCACACCTGGATAACAAAAGCAACTTCCCAGGCTACAGCCTCATGATTCTCAGACCCCAGTATGCTGGTTCAGCCTCATCCTTCTGCAAGTATTTAATGCAACTGTTTTTCAACTTTACAAGATACAATGCATATAATTTTATTGCATACCAGAAGTACAAATTAACAAATTGTTTATTCAATGCAAAAACTAACTGTGTTTATGATTTGGTCTGCATATATAATACAGGAGGACAATTACAAACATCTATCAACTTGAAAACTTCTGCTGAACAGAAATAAGCCTTTTACATGTTTTTAACTTCAAACAAAGAAACCTGATAGGGGGAGTCTGACTTCTAAAAAGTAGTTGAAAAACACTTTTTACAGATGTTTGAGATATCTGTTGTTGACTGCATGCATTGGTAGAAGAAAGGAGACAGCCACGACAACAAAAGTTAAGCTCCATAAAATCTAACACTCTTTAATTAAGCCAAATAAAAATTACAACTCTTTGAAGAATAGCTACACAGAAATGAAAAGAATACTCTAGTCAAAAATCCCACAGCTAAACTATTCAGCTGTAAGGAACTGTAACACATGAAAACCTCTTCAATATTTTGACATACTTTGATATCTTTCAGTTATGTTTTGACTTAAGGATTCAGAGGGGTTTTATTTAAATAAACTTTCAGATTACATCAAAATAGGAAGAGAGATTATGCAGGTGCTAACTCCACAGTATTATATTACTAAATTACATCAACCTTTAAAATAATACTACCTTAGCAGTTAATTATTTCTGCTGATCTTTAATGTACACCTTTCAGAAAAACTAGAGGTAGCTGATCTTTTGGCAAGCAGCAACATGGACATTAAAGCCAAATTTATGTTGCTGATTAAAAAGCACTGTGGTGCTGCAACTTCTCAAGATGCCTCTACTTTGTGATGGCAACATCCCCACATTGCCACTGTTAATATCCCAGAGCTCTCAGAACATAACAATTAAACCATGGTTTATGAAACTAGATGCCCTATATTTTCGTCAGGACATTCTGGAAGTTTCCTCATCCCAGGTCTCTGACATTTATCAGACAAGTGTAGCAATTACAGTGGTTTCAAAAACATCCCCAGCTTCAGATCTATTAAGTCAGTCATTTTAGAAGTTTCAACATGTAGAAATACATATCATAAGAATGTATGCTTTCAGTGTACACTTCCAAAAAGAATCAGATTACTGTTGGAAAAAGCTTTTCTAACACACCTTTGAGAATTGTTTCAACAAAAACATTCAACACAAGCACTTTCCCAATACATTTTTCATTTCACTCAAATCCCTCATGCACTAAAGTCAAGCCCATAAGTGTAGTGTTGTCCTTCACATCAGTTTTCCTATTGCACTATTTCTTTTACAATGAAGAAATTAACATTTCAAAGTTTAATATCATGACTTGTAGTTGTGCTTTTGACTTCAAAACATACTTGGAATTGTCTCAGTGCATTTCAGAGTATGCAAGAATCCTGCACCAAAGCTAACCTTGTCCAAGTTCCATTCTGAGCAAAGATCAGTAGTGCTATTAAGCCATACCTAATGGCTTTACAATGCATAATCAAAACATTGTCTCTCCTGTGACTAAGCTGTCACAAGACCAAACTCATTTCACTCAGTTCTCTAAAAGGGACCAACCATGCTGAAGTCAGCATTCCCTGACTTCAAAGATTTCTACAGCATCTCATATCCATGCTCACATGTGCCTAAAAGGATGAGCACCTCTCAATCTTCCCAGTCTTCAGTGAACTCAAACCAATTAAATTAAAAACATTACAGGAAGTTCTTCTATCATAAGCCTCATAACTTGAAAAACAATTTTGGATTTTGAGATTATTAACAGAATAATTTTCTACAGAAAGTCCAGTAAAAGCACACCAAGTCTCAAGGAAAATAGCTGTAGATTTACAGAAACCTTTAAATGCTTCCTGAACAATGGATTTTCTCCCTTTCAAATCACACAATTCACATGGTTTATAAAATAGTTATGAAACCTTTCCCCAGCTTCCAAATGTCATCCAATCTCATGCTCACTCATTCTTAAGAAAAGGGTCTATATCAATTTACCTTGAAATGTACTGTGATGCTCCAAGGAAGGGCTGTATTTGATGCGTGGAGATCAAAGAGCAAACCAATGGGGTAATGCCTAAAAATGACAAGATATTAATTTAATATAGAAGCCATGCATTTAATTCTATGTATCGCAGTTAACATACCTGCATTTACACACACACATGCACAAAATAGCTGTTTGACTCCCACAGTTAGCACTATTTATTGTTTACATAGAAAAGTTATACAGGCAAGTTTAGATGACTGAAAGGCAGAATTAAGTCTGGAATGTACAAGTTCAATATCTAAACCAGTGGTTTTCAAGCTGTGCCCACAAAATACTGCTACTTTTGCAACAGCCTTAAGTGGCCCGCAGCTGCTTTGTGGAACCTTCCAAAACAGCACTTTTAGTTCAAAAGCATCAGACCAGGAAAAGCACACGTGCTTTCAGATGTTGGAGTGTCCTGGGTTTATACCACACTGACCCTTAATATCCTTTCCTTCTCCCATATGTCTGATATAGCAATGCAGAGAATAAGTAGAGGAGCGAAAAAATTACATATCTGTAAAAGGGCTGAAAGATGATAGATCAAGATTAACTCTGTATCTTCACTATCAAATTAAGAAGAATGAAAGGGGAGGAAAAAAATTAATTGGAGTTTTGTATTTCAATGGCATTCTAGATTAAAGGAGTTACACAAAAAAGCTTGCTTCTAACAAATACTCACTTCTGTCTCATAGCTTTCTCTCCTTTAAATTAATTAGAATATACAGCCCCCAGCAGTATATGAAACATATATCACACACACAAAACCCCCACAGGCACTGTAAAAAAAGATCTTTTTTCAGTTTTCTTACACACAGATATTGGCAAGATTTTTGATAATTTTTTTTTTTTTTTTAACATTCAGCATACCAAGATCCATTCTCTTATCTTTCAAAAATCATAACCCAAAGAGCCTTACTAGCTTTTCATCCTACAAAGAGAGACACACATGCTGAACTGTAAAGTCAGTAGTTTCACTGAACTACATGGGACTGATCACAGGTCATAGCCCAAGCACGTACATAAGTTTTGAAAGTCCCAAGAGCACTAACCGAGAGTGCTGCTTTAACAGCACCTGTGCCAAGCCACTTTCCAGATCGGTCAAACTCTCACACAACAGGGCTTTAGCACCCTCTACGGGTGAGCCACCCCAAAGCTAAGACAAATTCACCACGACAGCAAAATAAAACACAAAATACTACTACAATTCCCGAGCTTGCCTGAGAATAAAGAGGATGCATATCCAGATTTATCTTGATTCACTGCTAATGCTCAAGTTTTTACAATGAAGATTTTTATCTACTAACTGCCAATCATGTCCTAAACACTTAACTCTTTCAGCAAGAGTTCCATGAAAGAGTGGTTTCCCTGGTGAGTTAAGTAACAAAGATTAGATTTCGTAATTAGATGAACATAGATTTTCAACATGAACAATGACTTCCAATTACTTTCAATTTATACAAGAAAACAGATAACTAAGAAAAAGAAAACTACAACAAAAACCCATACAAAAACTCCTGCATCCGGTCTTGGCCTACATCTGCATTTTCTAATCAGTTAAGATTATATAGTGAAGTTCATGTAATCAAATTTCTTCAGTAAAATCACTGTGCTTTGCAGAGTTAATGATGCCTAATTAAATGATGCTCTGACCTTTTGTCTTCTGCTAATTTATCAACAGGAAGGGTCAAGCACCCATCCAGTTGGTACTAGAGAGCCACCTTTACAATTACCAGGGCTAGAATGCCAACCCACACAAAAGGGACAAAAAATCCACCGAAAGCCATGTGTAAGTGCTCAGACAGGATGGAAACAATCTGCAGGTGTCACCCCCTAGCATCTATTGAAGAAACTACTCCAGCACAGAGTGGCATCACTCAGGAAGGACTCCTGAGAAAGTCTGCAGCTCTCCAGGTTTCAAGCTGCCAGGAGAGCTTAGGACCTCTCCTGAGGATTGGAGCAAGCAGAGGAAATGTCCTTGCCTAGAGGAGGTGCACATGAGTGAGGATCTACGCCACCAAGCTATGAAGCTTCAGGGAGACAGGGGCTGCACAGCATCAGGGAAGACATAGAGATAATGGCATCTTCACCAAGATCTCACAGAGATGAGAATCTGGAGAGAAAGCATCAGCAGCCATTGAAGTGGTCAGTGGGGACTCACGGGATGGGGACAACCAGACTTGTGTGAACGCTGGTGTAGAGGAACCCATTCAGTGCCAGCAATTCAGAGTGCAGCTTATGTGGGAGCTGCAGGTTGAGCTCTGCGTGATGGGAGCCCCAAGTGAGGAACCCATTCAGTGCCAGCAGTTCAGAGTGCAGCTGCAGAGGGAGCTGCAGGTTGAGCTCTGCATGATGGGAGCCCCAAGCAAGAGGCCAAAGCTGGTGCTGACCCTTTGCACAGGAAAGGGCACGGGGACCGGTGGCCCTGCCAGGTGACTGGACACTCAGGGACACGGCAGGAGCCACTGACACAGAGGAAAAACCCCACACTATCACACACAGACTGAGAGGGTGTAAAAGCCCAGGCGTTCCTTGGTTTGAGGTCCCTGCTCAGGGGCACCAGCTCAAGCTCTCATTCTGTTGTTACACAATCACCAAGCTCTTTTAAGGATCCAAATGCCTGAGGCTCTGCTATGGGAAACCAAGGGTCTAGCAGGCAAGGAAACCTTGTCTGGCTGTGTGGGTGTGGGAGCGTGCACCCACACAGGGAGTCAAGCGAGGCACCCATCGCTCCCAGAGCCGCCTGCTGCAAAGGGGCCTTGTCCCAGCTCAGGTGCTCCAAGGGTGTGACTGCCAGAGCAGCTCCCAGATGGACAGACAGAAAAGCTTCCTTAACCTCTGGCCAAGAGAGGGCAGGCCTTCTCCAACCACTGGCAGTGCTTCAGTGTCAGACAAGAGGCTGGAAATTCTGAGGAAGCATCAGAGCTGTCTGAACAGCACATCCATCCACAGCCAGAGGAAGCAGCCATAGCACTACAAGACTCCATCCTACAGGGGAAAGAGCCCCATCGCCAACTTCACTTGTTAACCTGCAGAGGTTTGCTACTTGGTAAAAAGTTGCAGATTGGCAAAGCTGTCCTCTGCTTGGATTATTAGTCCTTGCTGTTTACCCACATGGGCACAAATTATAGGTGTTGCAACAGAACCCCTGAGAGTATCAAAAGTGACTCTACAAGTTCTAAGGGCAAGGAGGCATCTCCACAATTTTGCCATTAAAGGAGATGGGTTCAGAGAGGTGTCTGCAGGTCAGGAGCTGGCTATGCAGCTGGTGCAACAACAAGGACTTACTTGGCTTTTACAGACATAGGATACTCTTTGGGGATAATGGACTGCTAGGGAGAGATGGAATCCACCTAAGTCAGACAAAAGTATCTTTGCCTTAAGGTTGCCCAGCCTGGTGAGAGCTTTAGACCATAAACAACAGAAGCGTAAATAACAACCCGCAGATAAACAGAAATTAATAGACATGGGTGGACAGCAATTGGTGAAAGATGATAGCTGCAAGGGAGATGTCAAAGTGATAAAAGAAGGAAGGAGAGAGCCCACCACAAGCACCTACAGAAGTGCACATAGCTTGGGAAACAAGCAGGAAAAACTAGAGTTGCACATGCTATGACATTACTGGGAGCGTGTTGGGCTACCTGAAGCACAGTGAGACAGCCTGCACAGCTGGAATACTGCTGTGGAAGGACAGACATAAGCTGCTTAGTAAAGGCAGGCAGGGCAGATGAGGACAGAGGGTTGTTTTCCATGTCAGGGAGCAGCTTAGATGTATGAAACTTAATAGGACAGACAACAGGTTGGTTGAGTTCTTGTGGTTCAGGAACAGAGGAGGGACTAGTAAGGGCAACAGATCATGCAATCCAGGTGAGAAAATTGATAAAGTCTTCTTTAAACAACTTAGTAAGTGTCTACATCACAGATCCTGGTTCCTGTTAATCTCTCACATCTTCTGGAAAAGCAACACAGTGGGACACAAGTAGTCAAGATTTCTTGATGCAGACATTGGATGAACCAGAGATAGATAACCTAAACGTGAATGTGTTACTTGTCTGTTAAGACAAAAGAGTTGTGATAACCAGTGGCAGCTTTAGCTGCAGTGACCATGAAATGGCAGAGTTAAAAGTCCTGGAGAAAGGACAGTAAGCCAAATACAGACTTATGACTTAATTTTTCATTTCCTCCTGGTGCCCCTACACAGTTCAGGTTCAGCCATATCAGATGCACTACTGAACAACACTTTCAGTCCTTCACCTGCAGCCAGAGCACTGAACCTGTGCTGTACTTAGAGAAATGCAGGTGTAGAAGGAACATCTCTCCTGTTGCAAGAAGTCATAAACTTCCAGCTCTTCCAAATCCTAGATGATTGTATTCTAAACCAGTAATCACAGTCTTTGACTGCATCTCCTTCACTGTGGTTGCAGGTTTAATCTCCTGTAGCTGCAGGAGGGTCTAAGGTTTCATCCATTTCCTTCCGTAGTCCCTAATGCTGCACAGTCAGATAATCTCTTCCTGAAACTCCTGACCTTGGTGACACAGACCCTCCCCCAGAGCACACCTCCTGAACGAAAAGAATCCATCTTCCCCAGTCCCAACTCTCAGCAGGACAAAGAACCCAGGCCCCTGTAACTCCAGGCCTGGAGGGCTTCATTCTCTTCTAAGAACTTGACCCAAGCTCTGCAGAGCCTGAAGTAGAAACTGTTTCAGATTTCCTCCAAAATCTCACTGGAAAATGGAAGAGCTGCATCTGAACAGATACAGACTTCATCCCAACTAGATATGAAACTGCATAGACTGTGAGCAATAAGACCTCATAGTGTGAAGTAAATAACTAGTATAAACAATATTACTCGCAAGTTCTATTTGATTCTGAATGCACAAGTCATAGCTTAAAAGACTAAACATTAATGCCTGCTATTCTTTCTCTACCAGCTACTAACTCAATCAAATTCTCAGTTCTGGTGTTTGAGTCTTCCCCAGAAGAAGCTTTGGCTCTTTATGGGATTACCATTCTCCTAAAACACTGGTTTACAAAGAAAAGCAGTTCCACTGAAATCAGTGGAGCTGTTCCTGGCAGAATAGACTCAGTTTTTCTGAAAGATGAGAGCCTTCATTAGCAGATCATTATTAGACTATTTATTTTCATTTCTGTGTTCAATGAATTTAATAACTCTTCACTTAATTTTTGAATTACCAGCTACATTTTTATTTTATTATTTTATTTTGTTTTTTTTTTTTAATTCTAGTTTAAACATCATGGCATTTTAAAACTTACAGAAAATATGGATCTATTTGTGGTTGAAGTACAAAGCCTCTCTTTCCTTTCTTGTTATAACTTCAGTGAAAACTAGTTTTCTTCCAATATTTACCTGGGATTACGAACAGCTGGGATAAATGTGATACCTTGCTGCTTATTTAGGTAGTATCCATGACTCAACATAACCGTGGCACATAAGACACCATTTCTTGTTAAATTCCACATAATTTATTTAGATGTCTAAAGATGCTTTTGCCAGTCAGTTATAATAAAAGCTTAAAGAGATCATTTTTATGGGTTTCTCTTTATATATTTTCAAGGTTAACACTATGTTGGTCTCAAAGAAACAAAAGACTATAAGAGATGACTCCATCACCAAATCTACTGGCATTCCATGCTGTGATACTTGCTAATCACAAGACAATCCAGGTTCAGTAAGATTAAAAAAATCACTAGTTTTCTTTCCTATGATGAAACAAGAAATAAAAAGAGATTAAAATTTCTTCATCATTCAAAATACTAAATACCTTCTAGATGGCTGATGCTATCTATACAGAATTAGGAAACACTGCAGCTCTCAAAATATTTTCTTTAAGATTCTTTAACAGCAAAAGTAGAAAACCTGATGAAAAGTATTTATGAAAATTAATTTAATGAAACAATATCAGTCCAAGTCCCTAACCTTTCACAAAAAAACCCCCAAAAAAACAAAACCAAAAAAAAACCAAACTAAAAACCCAAAAGAAGACAGTTTTAATAGAGTATAGGACAAAATTAAAACAGAATCAACATCAATTAGTTCAGTAAACTTGAACTAATTGAATTAAACAAATGCTTGCAGATCAATATTAGATTTTTACAGCGCAAGCACGTATCACACCAGTGAACAGTGAAGGTTACTCATGTTTTATTACTGTGCTGCATATAAGCTATTTGCATTCAGACTCCAGAATTATTACTTCCCATCTGTGTTACTAGACATCTTTAGGAAGGTGGAATATGTTAAAGGAAGATTTATTTGGCAATTCTACTGCAAGCAACAGTGAAGCCAAAACCACAAGCATTCTGAATTATGGTAACAACAAGAATAAAACCAGTAAGTGCAGCACAACACCTCTGTCTTACACATACAGTAAAAATTCAAGCAGAATAATAAAAAATATGTTCAACATTAAAGCTTTTGTTTTTCCCCAGAAACATGCATTTCTTACCCTCCTCCTCTTTTGCTATCTTTGAAGCCCAAGGGAGTGATTACTTTAGGAAAACTACTGACATTGTGCTGAACCTGGGAACTCTCTATGTGATAAACTGCATAAAGTACAAAGTTCAATAAACTCACCATTTCAGTGGTGTACCTTCGTATTCAAACCATATTTCACTAACTTCCTCCTGTCTCATAACTTTCTGAAAGTGCTTCTTCACTTTGTCTGTTACCAGTGTCAAGTAGCTTATCCTTGGCAAAAGCAACTGAAAAAAAAAAAATGATAGAAGCTTTAAGTGTAAATAAAATACACTAAACTGGTAAAAATATGTAACAAGCATGCATTTTCATAATCAAAAATCCAGTTAGCATTCTTTTCTTCCCCTTTTTAAGGTAAGACAGTTTACTTTTTAATGGTCAGTGGAAGGCTATAAAATTATGTACTCAGAAAATACAGAATAGTAGTATCCAATATATTAACACCAAAAAAGAGCAAAAAATTAAGTTCTTGATTCTTTCAGTGGGGTGGGGGAAGAACAGTGGACTTCAATTTCTACTTTTCTGTATTTAAATAGTGAAGCTTTAAACCTCTTTTATATGAACACATAAGAAGAGATTGTAACTTCTTATTGAAAAGAATGAGCAACTGTTTATCAGCTACTATTTCAAAATGGAAATCCCTACACAAGGAAAAAACAAAAAACAATGAAAACTAGATGCTTAAGGGTTTGGTTTCCAAGTGTTTTGTACTTCCAATAGCTGTCAATTTTATTTTTTTTTGCACTGGGTTTGCCATTTCAACCTATTAGTCAAGACTACTATTCTTCCACTATTTAACCTTCACCCGGGAACTAAAATCAGAAAGAAAACCGTAAATATTTTATTAGCTGAAACAAGACACATTCTTACAGCTCTGTCATATACTATCTTCTTTTCTTGAGTGTATACTATCCAAATCAGAATGCTGTGCTATTTTTATTTGCAACATCTTCCCTACCATCTCTTTTTTTAAAGACATGCCCAGGAGTGGTAAAACACTCTGTATTAATCAGTGAATTGACTGATGACTGTGTGCACATTCACTAGAGGTAAATCAATCCATAAACATTAACAAACAATGCTTTTCAGTATCTCAATGAGTAAAGATTAACCTCCCTGTAAAATATCAATTCACTTTAGAGCAGACATTTTAAATTAATAGTATCCATACTGTAAATTCTGTAAATATATACCTTATTCTGTAAATATATACCTTAGGCCCATCTATTAATAAAATAGATGGGCCTAAGGTATATATAGATTATATTTTGCATGTTTAGAGAAACATTTCTTTTCCAGTGTTCCTCATAACCAGTGCTGTTTCTTAAAGTATTTTCTTTACAGTATATGAATAATGCCAGGCCTAAGTGAATGCCTGTGGTACAGACATCCTAAACCATGTAAGGATATATTTTGCCTGACAGAAAATTTGATCTCTGCTGCAACATTCTTACAGAATTTCTCCAATAACTAGACCCACACTTTGCTATTTAAATAATATTTTGGCCATGATAACACAATTTGTAAATACCCAATTAATAAAGAAGTATGGAGAGTACATCAAGTTCCTGGAAAAAGATTCATCTTTTTGATAATGCTGCATTACATCACATCTGTGACACAGGTAAATTTTACCATTTTATAAAATTACATAAGGCCAAGTATCACCCGTCACAGTCATCATGTCAGTTAACACTCCATTTTTCATGTACCATATGGTTTTCTTTTTCCAACTGCTGTTTTTATTACCATCATCACATTGTTTCTACCGTCTTTCATAGGAGCAATGTAATCAAAACACGGCCTTCATTTTTAAAAGGCAAACAAACTCAATGAATTCAATGAAGTTATGTACACATTAAAGTAAGAATTGTTTGGTACTTTAATGACTTGAATGACAACATAAGCTTATCCTTTATTCACCTAATTCCACGTATCTTCACTGATTGTCCTTGAGACAATACAATGCAGGCTATACCAATCAAACCCACATATTTTTAGCAATAATTTCATGTTATTTCTGCATGATATGTACCGTTATATTAATGCTGGTGTACTCTGATGAGACTTACTAGAACTCTTACAAAAGCCAATTTTCAGCATGTTGCATGTAGCACAGCCATGCTGGAACTGATAAATACATCAAAGCATTATTTATTGCAACAGTGTTTGACATAACCCTTTAAACTGTCTAACTTCCTTCATAAAATACTCCACTTTATATTGTGAAAGAACAACCCAGTTTCTGCTTCAGCATAATTAGAGGACACAGACAATAACCAAACAGCATTCAACTGAATTTAACAGAACATGGCCAGCACGCCCAAAAGGCTTCAACAAAAACTGTACAACTGTACAAAACCCAACAGTTAATCACATAAACAGATTTCAGAGATGCTGAGCATTTGTACAACCTACTGAACTCTTTGTTTGGTCCCCCCAGTTCTTTTACCTTGATATAGTTATCCCCTTCCATAGGAGAAATGAAAGGATCCAATTCTACTACTTTTCTAGTTTTAATTTATCTAGCTTTTATTAACTTAAGAGATTTACAAGTCTTCTAAATCTGTTCTTAAAGTGAGATCTTTAAGAGCAGTTTAAACGCGTTTTCACCTTGTTACCCCTTTTAATATCACTTCCCTACCTACTGAAAGATAACAAGATCATGGGTTCTCGTCATTAAATTAAGAAAAGTAAATCTCCAAATACATCACCGAGCAGAATAAATCCTCGCAGTCATCCCTAAATGTTATCCCCAAAAACTACACAAATCGCAACACCTTCCTTTTGAATATTATGTATTGCTACAGTATTTAATCACAATAACCAGGAATGCTTTCTTATTAACCAGGAGGTTAAATGAATAACAAAGAACTCCTAATGCCTATGTAAATGCTTGCGATACAACTTCGTGTAAAGAGTGCCTCTCCAGGTATATCCACAGGTGTTGTTGCACAGCATGCAGTATTCTTGCATGAAAAGCAATAAACAGAAAAGTTACAGATTTAACAAGAACTGGACTGGTCTGATCACTGAAGTGTCAAGGGAGATGAAATAAAATATTGTATCGTGGAATGGCTTCACATTGCTCTCTCCTACAGCTATCTGAACAAAACCATACTTTTGACACCAAGCAAGCTAAAGAGTCATCCTGTTAAAGACCAGTCCCTTGGGCAGACCATCATTCTAAGACTGTATCCTGCTGTAATTTTGTTCTTTATACATCTGACAAGTCTCAGCCAATGAGTCTCTGCTTCCTGTATACTTATTTCATCCTTTTCTTTCTACTTGTTGCTTGCAACAAGAGTCAAACAGCATATCATTTTAAAATAAGATGCATAACAATTTTAGGATGAGAGAAAAATCAGATAAATCAGCAACAAAAGTAGTTCAAGCAAGCTGTTCCTAAATGCGCTGTCACTCAAAACATAACCATCTGCATGAAACACTCCAAAGAAAATTGATGTATCCATTTCTAGCATAACTGCAGAAAACCTACCCTACATGACTATATTAAGACAGAGGACAATGTTTTACTGGAGCTGCCCAGTCTTTATGTCACCACTCTTTCCAAAAGACAGGAAAGTTAATTTTAAATTGCTTGTCCTACCCCTATGCAGTGCCAGAAGGTGATACACACATGCTTCAACTCATGTTGCACTAACCCATCTGACAGACAGGGCTCTCCTGTCACACCACGCACAAAAACCAAAATCCATCCCACAGACTCAGAGCTGTTTTTCTAACCCCTCACCCCCCAAGACTACGTCATCCTTCATCTTCATAAAGCTAGTTCCTCAGAGCAGAATCCTTATCCTCTCTCAACTTAATGATGCCAGTATTTCCTTCCCATGCAATCTTTCCATTTATGAAAGGCAGTCTGGAATAGAGAGGTTATACTTACAAATAAGAGGGGCCATGTAAAGCTGAAGAGCTGATGTCAAGGGCTGGAAATGTTAACTACATGTACTTTTCTACTTTACCCATAATTTTACTTTGATTTAGCTCAAGATTGCTCCCATACACCAATGTCCATTAGCAACTGAAGCCCACCTGGTCCTTCAGCTTCACATGAAAATGATTTGACCCATGGGCTGACTGCTCTGTGATACCAGCCTGGGCACAGGAAGTGGAAAGGATTATTTGAAATGCACTCCAGATCTGAACGAAAACATTAACCCAAGCACACTCTCAAACTTCAGAACTATACCATGACTTAAAACCTTGACAAGGATTATAAATCCTTGGTCCCTCCAAAGACACAAAGCTGTATTACCAGCTCCAACATGAACTGAAAAATTAAGAAGCTAAAATTTTAGAACTGTCATCCATGAGTAATCACATTTTGCAGAAAGAAAAAATTAAGCAATGACAATTTTTGTGCACACTTTACATGGAGTAAATAAAAGAAATTCTATGACCTGAAAACCATTTCCTTGACTGAGAAAGCTGGCCACACCACGAGGATAACACGGTTTCATGCTTTCCAAGCCAATGTTAAACAGATCAAGCCTGTAAGCCTCTAAACTTAAATCCATAACTTTCAAGTAGCTCTTACACAAAGTGTGCAAACATATTTTAACTCATATGTATAATTTAAAGTCTCAGACTTTTAGGTTAGATGTATTTGGCAATAGGTCAATAAATATAAAGTGCAGTGCTTATCTTTTAGCATTTTAGCATTCGTTTAGTGATGAAACTAAAATATACAAAGATGAGCACCATTATTGCCAAACAAAAAGCACCAATACTTTATTAGGTTTCAAAACAACACAGGCAAATGAGAAATTGATGACCCAAAGATGCTATTGAACACAGAAGAAAAAGTTCTATGCAGTGTGGAATGGGATACGATAAGGCTTGAGAATTTTAGAATGCCATAAATATTAAAAGTTTAAGATTTCCCTCACATATACTCGTTACATTTCAGATCTGCATTTCACTAAATCAGCTAACATTCTTTCTCAATTGCATGCCTATTAGGTGCTGAAAGAATGAAAACTGATGAGAACACTATAAATAAATACATCATTATAGAAGGCACTTCCATGTTACAACTCAAATACATCCATCATCCCTTTTTTATCATCAGATAGCAATCCTGTTCAGGCAGTGTTCTCTTTAGCCATTATAGTTGCTTTTCTTATTTCTGAGCTAGATCTCTCATGGCTGCTAGACTTTAAAGAAAAGAAAATGAGCAGAAGTCACCCAGAGAGCCAGTGTTCATTAAGAAGTTTGCGTTATATAGGTGACCAACGTTAAATATTAAGACTTCATAAGTCTGAGTAAATTATTTCTGCATTAATAGAAGTTCTCTCGCTTTGACTGTTCATTATACAAGAACATGCAAACGCACATCCAGCCTCCTCCTTTGCCTAGTCACTCGATAACTTTCTAAGAATTTTTTCAATGATCTTAAATTATCTGTGATAAGTTTCTCTCACTAGTGACATAATTTGCTGTGAAGAAAGATGAAGTCACACAGCATGGCTATATGTTTACTTTCAGAAGCTACCAGGAATAAGAAGAAAAGAAGTGGGTTTTTTCACAATATGCAGTAGTACACACGAAGAGAATGAAGGAAACAAACATAACCACGGCCTTGGACTATTTTTTGTGACTACCTTTGTCATACTCACATAGTAGGGGTCAGCCTCCCTTTCAGTTATCTCATCCTGATACAGAGTGAAACAGGTCGGTATTCGCCCAAACCACACATCCCGAAGCACATCTTTGTCATCTGTCATTCTTCCAATGGACAGTGAAGCACATGTAGATCAATCTGTTTCTTCAGCTACAAACGTAACCCATTCCCCACCCCCGCCAGAGAAAACAAGTCAGGACGACTGCAAATAAAATACATCTTGTTAAAGGCTCTCCCATAACTACGTTCCTGCAGGCTGACCAAGGCTGTCACCGGGGCATTAAATGCATCACTTGGTACAAAGACCGGGATGAATTAAGTTCCCAACTACAAACACATGGTGGGTAAGGAGCGAAACATAAGTGAGCATTTCCTAAGGCTGCATCACGCCCCAGCCGCAGAGCCGAAAGGTCCCTTCCCGTTACCGCCCGGCAGCCCCCGGCACCCCGCGAGGCCGCGGCGCGGGGGCAGAGCCCGCGTCCGCAGACGGAGCACCGAAACGAGCCGGGCTCTCCGCCGGGCGGGTACCGGCCCGGGGGTCACCGAGGCCGCACGACGGGCCCCAGCATCGCCAAGCGCCGCGCTGAGATCCGGGGGGGTTCGGAGCCCGGACAGGCCCCGCGGGGTCTGTCTGTCTGCCTATCTGTCCGTCTGTCTGTCGACCTCCCTTCCCTCCCTCCCTGCCGGCAGCCGGCCGAGGTGAATCAGCGGCGCTCCCGCCCCACGGGGCCGGGCCGGACCGGGAAGCGCCGCGGCCGCGGCGGCAGGCGCGCTGTCCCGCCGGGAGCCGGTCCCGAGCCGCTCCGAGAGCGCTGCTGGTGCTGCAGCGGCAGCGCTGAATGCGGAGAGCCGCAGGGCTGCAGCTGTACTGGACCCGGCCGTGGGCCCCCTTCTGAGGCATCGGACCGATGGCCCGAGCATTGGAGGATTTTGGGCACCGAATCGCTCTGTTTTCTCTTATCCGATTGTTCTTTTTCTACTTCCCCAAGGAAGTAATCATAGCACCAGGGCTCACAGAGTTCAAGGAGCGCTTGGACAATGCTTTCAGGCGCATTCCGTGACTTTATGCAGGGCCAGGAGTTGGGACTCGATGGGTCCCTTCAAAACCAGAATATTCCGTGACTTGTTCTGTGGTAGATCTTACCCACCGTGAGAGATGGAGCCAGTCCAGAGGAGGCCACAAAGTTGCTAAGAGGACTGGAGCCCCTCCCCTACAAAGACAAGCTGAGAAAGGTGGTGCTGATCAGCCTGGGGAAGAGAAGGTTGTGTGGAGACCTCATGGCAACCTTGCAGGATCTGAAGGGGCCTCCTGGGAAGCCAGTGAGGCACTCTGCGCCAGGAACTGTGGGGATAGGACAAGGAGGAATGGGTACAAACTGGAAGAGGGGAAATTTATTTAAGGTATTGGGAAGAAATCCCTTACTGTGAGAGTAGTGAGGCAGTAGAATAGGTTGCTTAGGGAGGTTTTTGGTGTCCCAGACAGGTTGGTAAGGCTTTGAGCAACCTGGTCGAGTGGGAGATGACCTTGCTTGTGGCCAGGAAGACTGGGACGGATTAGATAATATTTAAGATCCCTTCCAACCCTTCATATTCTACAATTCTGTGATATTTATACCATGATCACAGGAGGATGAGGAGTCCCTGTTGCCACCAGTGCCACCTCTTGCATACCAAAGCATCGTTCTGGATTGGTTTTTATCAGGTCGGTAGGTGCAAGTCCACAGTGAATTCCCCCTCTGCACTTCAAAGAACATCTCCCACAATTCTGTGGCTCTGCAAATCCCCATCTCAACGTCCTACAACTGTAGGAGTGCAGGGAAAAATCAACACTAGTGGTGGGGAACGTCATAACTCCCAAGGAAGATATGTACGCTATTGCGCTACACGCTAGCCGTTGTCCAAGCTGGGTTGTTCCGTGGCAAAATGTACAACTGCAGCGAACATCTGGCAGCGGGAGTTTTGGCTCGCTGGGACGAGAGCTGACACGGGGTGGTTTTAGCGGATGCACGGGCGGCAGTTTCAGCAGTGCCACGTTCCGGCCGTGCTGCTTTGTGGCCGCCAGATGTCATGCAGTGGCCACGGCTGCTGAAGGAGTCTTCGGGAATTCGGGAACTAACTGCAATTATTACAGACTTGCGGTGGGGTTTACCCAAAGACTGGCATTTTAATAAGTTTGTGTGTTGCTGAGCCAGCAGTATGATTTGCAGAACTCTAGTATTTTTTTCAGTCACCTGAAGGATTAGTAAAGTCTGAAAGGCTCTTTTTAATTTTTTCCCCAGTTTAAATGAGATCATCATGAAGACTTCTTTTTGGTAAAACAGAACATTCCAAACACGAGACCTAATAAAAAAAAATTACCTATTTTGCTCTATAGGCAAAAGGTTAAGCTATGGCACTTTTTTTTTTTTTTTTTTTTTTTTTTCCCGACACACGGATTTAAAAAGGAGGTAAGCTGCTGTAAACCTGGGGAAAATTTAATATTTGGTATGGCCTACCCCAAGGACAGGGAAAGAAGGCACAGAGCACACGTGATATTGCAAGTGCATTATGCTCTGAAGGGACCAGTTCCCTTGCACTCCTGAATATGGGCAACTACACTCACCTTGCATGTGTTGGGCATGATGGTGGAAGGGGAGAGGCTCCTGCAGAAGTATTCTCTGTGCACTCACAACAGTTTTAACTAGTGTGGATGGGGTGGAAATTATTGTCTTGCAAACCTGGAATGGCAGGCGACATGCACAGAGACATCCAACCCACAAGCACTGCACATTTACTAAAGGCTTCTCTGTGTGTTTCTGCAAGAAACCCCCTTAATGCTGTTACAGGTATGCTGAAACCAGTCTCAGGAGGATGCTGTGAGATGCCAGCACCACTGGAAAAACAAACAAACAGACAGAAAACCCTGACCAAACAGACAAAAAAACCCCAAGATTTTTACAAATATTTTTCCTCATTACATTATCTGTAAGCTTTCAGAAAGCTCTGCACATATGGATATCCCTACAGGAAATCAAGGAGAACCACAGGGTTAGTCTTTGCCTTTCCTCCTATGAACTCCTCAGAGCTCTCCTATAGAAAAGGGTGATTTTGGTAGGATGTACTGGCTGAAGGGTTTGACTGATCATTGTAGCAGCATCACTAAAGGTAATGCCAGGTCACTTCTTTTCGCACAGGCAGGGAGGAGTCTTCAAGCTATTATCAGTGATACTGTTAGGATGTGACTCCTTCCTGATGCTGCCTGTGCTCACCTCCTGAGGTCTGTCTTAACCCCCACTACTGCAGTTCTTGAAGCACAACGTTGGCCAGCTGGACTGTGCAATCAGCATTCTGTTGATTACTTAGACAACTACCAAGCAGATTAAATATTTATTTTTGCATGTTTCTCTTGTGTATAACACAAGGAACATAGGCACCTGACTCAAGCATATGGATTCCACTTCATAGGCTGAAAACTGAACTCCATTGAGCACCCAAGTCTTTTGCTGGATCTAGATACAAGAAGCCAGGTGGAGAATAGAACTCAGTCAAGTTATAAAGTGAGATAACTTGCTGTTTAAATTATCTTCCTATTTAAACATTGTGCTGGTGTAGTTACCAGCCACAGATACAGCAAGATACATTGTCCATGTGAGATTTTGAAGACAATAATTCTGTAGGTGAATGAGGCTCTGCTACTGACACAAAGTTGGTTGTAGATAACCACGAGATATAATGTGACTACTGAACAAATAAACTAAATCTGAAGTGAATACTAGCTTTGCTGATATTATGACTATAAATAAAGAATCTAAATCGAACATTAAAAATAACTGCTAGGATGTAATGTCAAAATAAGTACAATAAAAAGAGAATTACCTCTTTGACATACTGTTTTCCACATTGCTATCTAACGCTTTAAGTTGCACCGTCACTCTGCACAATGGATTGGTCTAAATTGGAAGGGGAAGAGCTCAATAAACATATTTCCAATTCCAAAGATCCTCAAGCACTATTCCCTCATTTTAAACGTCATCATCAGACAACACACAGTGAGTCATTGCCTAATGGAAGCTGAATCAAAATACCTGTTATTGAGTACACATGGAATGTGAAGATGCTTGTAACAAACAAGATTATAATTAAAGATGCATTAATTCTAATAAAAATAAGAGAAATGGAACAGATGGTTTGCATATTTGTGGGCAGTTATGTTTTTGTGTAATTGTAGTGCAGATGAAGATTTGTAAGCAGAATCAGTGTATAATTTACGTTGGAAGGGATCTGTGGAGTTCTTCCCTGACATCCAGGCCAACACCTCTTCTCAAAGCGGGAGAAACTACAAAGTTAGAACATATTGGTAAAGGCAAATCATGCCAGCATTTGATTGCTGAAAAGTGACCTGAAATAAAATATTAAATACTATTTCCCTCTGCATTTTGCTGGAAGTGGGATTACTGATATTCATTGCTTTGATGACATGGAATGAATTTAATGGTGCTTTCATAGAATTGGTGTTTTATGTCACCTACACATAGCACAAAGTAAGGATAGTTTGTAAGTATATAATGTATATACTTGTGTAAGTTATACATATATGGATGTATAACAAATACCCTTGGCAGGTGGAGAAAATATTCTATTTATTCAGTCCTGGCTCCACTTCTGTAAAACCCAGACTCCATTAAATCATTGGCAAAACACACAGATACGTGAAACTTTACCTGTTCCAGTGTTGTTTTATTAGCAAATGATCAGCAATCATTATTGCTGTTTTCCCTTCACTTCCCTAACCATTTTCAGTAGAAAGCAAAACATACTTTAATTTTCTAGCTATTGTCTTTTGAGTGTGTAAACAAAACCAGATTGTGAGAATCATTAATGCACACCTTTTAATATGCAACAGCGAGTTAGAGTCAAATGAAACTCATAAAGCTGCTATTTATATCTAGCTAAATAGTTCATTGTTGCCTACTCCCAGTGAAGAGTTAATTTGATTAATTACATGAGAAGCTGATTCATTCATCTGACAACTTCCTGGAAATATTACGAGATGGCACTTAATGTTTTCCAGATACAATTTTGATGTATAAGTTTGTGAAAGCAAAAAAAAAAAAAAAAAAAAAAAAAAAATCACTCTTATCTGGATGTAATTCTCCTTTCATGCTCTCCTCACTTACTAATATTTGTCTTCTCTAACAGCGAATGTATTTGTAAATATTCTAGACTGGTTTTAAACTCTTTCTTCTCTAAATAACTGAGGTGTGCTGACAAATGTCCTAGCTTTCCCTCACAGTTAACTCTTTTTTACTTTGCTGATTTCATAGAATCACAGAATGATTTGCACTGGAAAGGGACATTGAAGATAATCTAGTTCCATCCCCATTTCCTATTTTAGTTCAAAATTAAAATTCCTAAATCATATTTCAGACTATCAAAAAATCTTTTACTGCTAAACCAAGTGACTGGAAATTAGGAAATCCTAGTTCTAGGTCTGCCACTTATTACTTACCTTGAACAAAATTTCTTGGTTTTGCTACTTCATTGTAGATTCATGAAGACATCTTGGTCTTAGTGCGGAGGAAGGAAAATACCACCTTTTAAAATTTCACAGTATGTACGTGTGGAGATTTCCTATGAACAGAGA